TCTGCATCTTAGACATTTTTGTTTCATGGTCAGTAACGGTTTTAGTTTTCAAACCAACAACCTTTGCAGCCTCTCCCATAAGTAAATACATTGCTTTCTACCCACAAGGGCACCTTCTTACAGATATGAACTTTAACTTCTGATGACATAACGACTTGCCCTCTACACTTAAAAAAAAAAAAAATGCACATGCACAAGTAGGGGTGTAAATAATAATTGTTTCATATCGATGCATTGATCCAATAGCCGATAATCCGATGCATCGACACGTCAGCAAGAGTATCGATTCATGTTTTTTTCCCCCACCAGTCTATTTTTATCCATTTGCTCCTGGACGTAATTCTCCCTCCCGTGCTGCGGTGGTGCTAAACCTATTTTGCCCTCCTACCTCGCTTCCTTTAGCCACTACCCTCTTTCCACTTGCACACACACTCACATAAACAAAGAGGCATTATTATTTCTCACTGAATGAGGTTTTCATAGGCCTAGGTGTAGTACAACTTTGCTACTTCTGTTATTTGCTCTTCTTATAAAATATATAACGACCTTACAGCTTTCATTGATTTATTTCAAATTTGAAACATTGTCTAGCCTTTAAGATAAAAAAACAACAAATTAATTGAATCATATCGTGGTGTGTTCTTAAGTATCAAAAATAATTGAATCGTTGGGTCAGGAAACTAATACTGAATTGAATCGCCATGATGGATGTGATTTACACCCCTATGCACAAGCCTGTATCCGCTCACAAGAGGGAATACCTGTCAAACACATGAAAGAGCATGCATAGCCCATTTCTCCTAGTGCACGCTGTTTAAAAGTTGCTATTCTCATAGTTCATACAAGCTTACCCAAACACTCCTCCAAGGTAAATCCCTCAATCACTATATAGAGCTGTGACTATATAATGGACTTTTATAGCAAACTCTGTTAACTTACTGTTTGGACAGATGATCACTGCTTTTTGCCCATTGGTCACGTAACACTGCCTCCACCGTGCGGTGCCTGCGCCTTCTTTGCTATTAGTCGCGCTGCTGTAGGGTAGCTACAGCCTATGGTGACAGCAAATCCCATAATGCTTTGCGAGGAGAGCTCTTCTGGGAAAGCGTTCTGGGATCTATCTGCCTCTTCTGAGGCCTTTCTTTTCTTCCCATACACTTTATAGACACTGTTTCTCTTACGACTCTCTACCATTTTCAAAGAACTGTGGTGAGAAAGGTGAGCTTGAATGACTGTCTGAAACCGTAGCTCTGCACAGAAATACGCCTGAAAGTGCGCATGCACAAAAGAGGACGAGCACGTAGGTCCACCTTACATAAACATATCACCAGAATGATTGACAGTTAGGAGGACCACTTATTAAGATGATCCACCTGGAAAGAACAGATCATCCTCTATACCTTTAATTATGAGTTATTATACATTTACACTTAAGTAAGAGATTAATAGGAATCATGTTTGTCATTGTGCAGAAAGAAAACATAATTTTGTTTTGAAATGTCCCTTTAACAGCTATTTTAATAATAAAAATGAACATTAAAAGAACACTAAGCCTCTAACTTAAATGCCAACTTCAAAAATTTCAAAAACCACGAACTGGTTTTTATGCAGTTCTCAACAAAGTGCATAAAATTAGTGGAAGTTTATTCAGTTAGTACTGACTACCTATAATAATGTTAAAGATTACAACCACCTTGTTTTTTTTTTATGGATTTAAATCATTGTCCACTTATGTAACACACAAAAAAAATTTGTTATAGTGTAGAAATTGAGGGTGTTTTTCTTCCTTTCAGGCTTTTCAAGTTGTTAACAGTTACATGTTAGTATTTCTAGTACATGCTTGCTTGTAACTGCAGCTGTAATTTCAGATTGACGGTTGCTCATTGTGTATGGGGTGGCATCACTAGCCACAGTAATATTTTTAACCAGTAAATCATTTTACAATGACCTGATTAAGCAAATAAGTAATATTATAGAAAGCTAGCAAAAGACATGTAGAAATAGTTTTTAAGTAACCTCACAGCATCTAAATGAGCTGAAACTTTTCGACTTTCTGTTTATTCCTTTCTGTTTGTGTGAAGGATTCACTTTTCTTTACTTGTCCATTTCTTTGGCCAGTCTGCTTCAGTTTAAATTTTTTTTTTGTACAGATTGTCTTGCATTTTCTTTAATTGAGAACGGCTCAGTCCTTTGATTGCAAAGAATCCCCAGATTATAACACTTCCTCGGCTATAATTCACAGTTTGTATAGGGCAATTTCCATGAATGCATGTTCCATTTCATTAATGTCTTGAGCTTTGGTGTCCAATATTATTCATTATTCTTTGTCCACATTATCCCTGGTGAATCTTATTCCGGGCTTTATGTTTAATCCTTCCACACCTTTATTTTTTTGATGGTTCAAGCCCCGGCTCCCGCTTTCAGTGTTGTTGTGTCCTTGGGCAAGGCACTTCACCCGCGTTGTCTACTGATTCTGGTCCAGTGGCGCCAGTGTACGGCAGCCTTGCTTCTCTCTGCTCCAGCGTAGTTTGCCATCATCAGTGTATGAGTAAATGAGTAAATGGGTGAATGTAGTGTAAAGTGCCTAGGTTAAGTCTCCTGACTTGGAAAAGCGCTATATAAGTTTAGACCATTTACAATTTAAACTTGGAAAGTCTCTTTCTAGTTTAACATGCATTTACTTACTGTGTTCCGGTAGAAGCAAGGTCTTTCTCTAGGTTCCCTGATAAATCTTAAAGGTCTTTTGAGACTTATTTAAATATACAGACCCTGATTAGAATAGGTAATGTTGGGACGTATTTTAAAAGTCCTTCACTCTATTCCAGTCAAGGGAATGATGGATTTCTATACATTTGAATATCTCATTAAATTCCTTTAAAACATATGAACTTCCCTACTTTTCTCAAATGAGGGCTTCAAAACAGGCTAATATGATCAATTTAAGTTGAAATAAACATATGGGTTTTCTAAAATATTCTAGGGCTGCAACTAACGATTATTTTAAAAATCGATGAATCGGCCGATTATTTTTTCGATTAATCGATGAATCGGATAAAAAATATTTTTTATATTAACCTCTTTATTCCAAAATAAACATTTTAGACAGAACAAACAAGCACACAAGTACAGGTTGCTCATTAACTGTACTGGTGCAATATGAAAAATAAATGTTTGTTTTAAAACTACGCAAACTTACATGAGAAATGTAGCTGTACATCCACAAAATATAGGCTACTTTGTTTCATAAAGCGCAAAAAAAGACATTTTTGTTTTTAAAAGCCCCTACGGGGTTCAAACAATAGGCCCCCCATTTCAACAAATGAGGTTTTTTTTAGACTAGAAGAGTTCTGCCTTTTAGGACAGGAAAGTATAGCAGTTAAAGTTGCTGCTTGAGAAAATACTGAACCATAGAGATAAAAATAGCTCTGTGATTCAAATTATAAATTGTATTTGGAATAAAAATGAGAGAACTAGGGGTGCTAAAAAACACATCCTCCATAGACAGATATTTACATGAGAATGTGGCATATAATTAATTGACATATTACTGATCTTCCTGGATTTTATTCTGCTTTACTTCCATAAATTGCAGGATCTTCTTTACTTTATCTTCACCAGAAGATTTAAACTTTAAAAGCCTTGCTTTCATAATTTGCAAGTTAATTTATTTATAAAGAAAATCTAAACGCTGCTTAAGCTAATTCAAATGAAATTAAAAGTAAAATAAGTACCCAACCTTATTACTGTCTGTAACCTACTTACAAGGTAAGGAAAGCATCAGATGAGCTACCTGAGAAACTAACGTTACGTTTCCCCACTTTAAAATGAAACAAACATGGTCGCTCACCCTGCTGATCAGCTCTCTTCACTGCCATCAAAGGCTGCAACGTGTTTTCTTTTCAGATGCTGCATCATAACAGCGGTGCTTCCGCGCCATGTTAATTTGTTTTTACAAAAGTTGCTTGTTACGACTTTTTTCGCTTTACAAAGCGCAGGCTATTTTAATTATTGTGATCAATTTGCGCCGTCAATCCCGGCGCATGCGCGCTTCATTTGTAGTCTGGACGCTGAGGGTAAACATCCTCTGACTGCAGCGCTGAGAGGGACTCCTGCGGGAGCGGAGTTGGGATGGGGGAGGCGCCCCACGGCAATGACGACGGCGGCGGATGACGCATTAATCGCGCAACACAACTAATCGATGATGAAATTCGTTGCCAACGCTTTTAAAAGTTGATTTTTATTGATTTTATCGATTCGTTGTTGCAGCCCTAAAATATTCCCTCACCACAAATACAGTCTCTAATTATTTGTGTGTTTATTGTTTATTGTTCATTTATTTTAGATGGTTATTTCAGTTTTGTTAATTATTCTTGATGAAAATAATTTTTTATTCTATTTGTTTTTTTTGTTTAATTATTTTACATGTATGTTTCAGTTCAGTTTCAGTTTTTTTGTTCTGTTTTATAAATTGTCCCTAATAGAAACAATTTTTTTTTTATCAGACCTTTTTTTTATTGTTTGTTTACTTTACACCAGTGTTAGTGACACTGATAATGACACATATGTCTACATATATGAGAGATGCATACTGGCTGATATAATGTGTTCTTATTTCTTAATAACTCTCTGAATAAAATTGTTTAACTATTTTTTAAACTCATAGCATAAACCAGACTAGGGGGAATGTGTTTCTAACTGCCCTGGTTTCAGCAAAAACTCTTCAAACCTTGGCATTTGAGGACTAGCTCTCTGCTCTCTGATCCACAGTCACACACTTTAGCTTCACTTCTGTAAGAATAACATCAAAGGTTTGTCCATGTCACAGTTAACATCAGTTCATCCTCAGAGGGGAACTGGTGACATAGTTTTCCCATCTGCGTTTAACCTTGCCACCCAGTAGCAGCTCCATGCAGCCACCCTGCCTCTAATTAACATCTGCTGTAGTCATTTGCTGTGTAATGATGTTTATTTCCCACTTCTGTGCACCTGTCAATGTGTAGTCCTCCGGCACGACAGTGATGGTGGATATTGCTGTGATGGGAGAAGCCCACGGACTGATCACAGACCTGCTGGCCGACCCCTCTTTGCCATCCCACACCTGCACGTCGCTGCGGGCCGTCAGCAGCCTCCTGACCACCCAGCTCACCTTCCAGCCACTTCATCGACCCCGTCCCACCCCCCTGCTCAACCCCAGCGATGCCTACACCTGCTCGGACTCAGAGGAGGGACCTGAGAAGGGAGAGAAGACATCCATACACAAGGTGGGAGAATCTGTAAAGATTAATCTTCCTCGTGTCGGACTTTACTAACAAGAACAGCAGACATAGAGTAAACATAGTTTAACTGCTTGAAAGGTCAAGACTGTTAATCTAAAAAAAACTCAAGACGGTTTCATTTGGAAACAGGAATAATCCTCTCCTTCAATCTCCTTGAACCCCAGTCGGCCTCGGCAGATGGCCGCTCACACTGGTTCTGCTGGAGGTTTCTTCCTGTTAAAAGGGAGTTTTTCCTCTCCACTGTCGCTACAAGCATGCTTAGTGTGAGGGATTGTATTTGAGTCAATGAGTCAATGCAATCAACTGGTTTTCCTTAGATAGAAAACTTTGAATCACTTTGACTGGATGATCCAGTGAAATGTAAAGTGCGTTGAGATGACATGATGTGAATTGGAACTATAGAAATAAACTGAATTGAATTGAATGAATCCATAGATGGCAATACTGTCCGTGTCCACTTCATGCAGGTCAAACATACCTTGCAACACTCCCCTAGCATGTTAATCATATAGCCCAGCCTTTAACTGATAAGTGGTTCTTGCCATCTGGGCGTCTGACATCAGTGTAAGAGTGTATTTCTTATTTCTTATACTTGAGCGAAGGAAAAATACAGAGCGTCTACCGCTTGGAGCAACATTCTCCCTTTCATAGCCACAGCTGTGTCAACATGACAGATGTGCCAAGCCAGACACTGTGTTTGAGTGAGTGTATGTGAGGGGAGTAGCGTAAGGGAGGCAACACGCAGCTGGATGCATTTCTCAGAAGCTTCTGAAGAGGGATGGGTATGTGTCAACAGAACCAAACTCCCACTACAATTATGCATTTAGCTCCTTATCTGGCAAAAGATGCCCTTTATGGCTTTCTGCAAGGCTGGTGTGGGTCATGTTTGACTTGACATCAAGCGTGTCTCATCCTGACGGATGTCATTTTAAATCTTCAGCATTGTGTAAAAGCAGCAACGTGTTCTTATAAATGTCCACCATTTAAAGGTAATGAAGGAAATCATAAAAGGAAGGAAGGGAGATTGGGAAGGATATTGTTTTTCTTTTGACTTGTTGGACTTTGATTTGTGGCCCAAACTTAATCCTTTTACACTTCTTTCCAAACTCCTTTTCTTTTTATTTCTTCTACATAACATTTGAACAGCTGGGGGTGTTTTAGAAATTTAAAACAGCCTGAAGAATAATGTGCATAAGCATTCTAGAGATGTTTCCATTGTTTTACTGTTTACTTAAACAGCTGCAGAGATGAGTCCATTTTTAGACCAAAGCATCAGACTGCATACACTTTTTTTCATTGTTTTGGTCTGATTATAATTTATGTGTGCATCTTTGCTTTTAAGTGCCTGCTTTTGGATTAAATATTTAGGGAATTCAGTATTAAAGGAGTTAGGTGTGAAAGAATACAGATGCATGTCCAGCAAGTGTTAAAAACTAAGACCAATGAGCCCGCCCAGGTATCTCTCCAATGCCTTTTCTAGACCGTTTGCTGTATAATACACTGCAACTCAGGGGGCCAAATTTCCTGCACAGTCCTACGACATTAATTGATGCTGCATGCTCACGCCTGTTAGCTTTAATGCTGGAAGTTGAGGTTGTTTTAGTTGTAGTAGAGGACTTGTGTGAGATGGTGCTTGTTGCTCTCATAAAATATGCACATTGGACTTGTAAAAAACTGTCAAGTAGTTACAGCATCACTAGTGCACCTAGCCATGTTTGTGCTCGCTCCTTCGCCTGCTTTGCTGGTGGTGAAGCTATCTGTGTTACTCTTGAGTCTCATTTCCTCATCCTGCCTCTACTTCCTTTATATATAAAGTATATAAAAGTATATAAAAAATTAAACCAACATCCTCTTTTAAAATTGTGGAAATGACATTAGGATGAATCTGAAATATGTATGCCACCCCCTTCAAAATGTAAACACTTTCTTTGGAAATTTCCATTGATAGAGACACATACAAACTAGTGAAAAATTGCAAAGAGAGGAAAAAGATACTTGATTTTCTAAATCATTTAAAAATAATATCTAAAAACTGCCATGTTTTTACATGCTGTACCCCTTCCCTCATACAATACCTTCTCGGACCAAATTTACAGTCTGTGGAGATTATCTATCTCCCTCCTCCACATATATTTATTTTTTATGGTTCAAACTAAAATTCAGATTGGCACAGATCACCTAAGATCAGTTATTTTCAAAACTTGCTAGATTTTCACAGTTTTGTTAAGTTTGGAGCCGTGACTGAACCATTCTTACTATGCAGGGAGAACCTTCCTCCAAATACTTTCCAGTATCTTACCCTCAGACTGTACTTCGTCCATGCTTGTTCCACTATGCTCATGTCTATTCAGGTTTGCCCGCCGGAGCAACTGTGTCTTCACCTCATTTAATGGTTGTGAATGGTTTCACATGCTCCATGACTAATCTGTACGTCACTGTCAAACTGACCTGCTCTTCCTCCTTCACCATCACATTACTGGTAAACTCAAATTTTCTGTTCCGCTCCAGTCCACCTGGCTCTGGCCTGACTTCTGCTGCATGCTCTCTTTAGGTTTTAAGGAACTTGGGACGGAGTTTGTTGGTTTGACCACAGAACTCACAGAGCTGACACGTACAGAACCGGAGGATGTTGAATATCTGCATTTGTTTATGTCCAAACCCCAACCAGCTTCCTTGGCCGGGCTAAAGAAAAGCTAACCTGACTCCGCCAGATGGATTTGCTCCGCATATCCGTCTGGAAACCTTCCGTTGAAGTAATTTTGGGAAGGGGCGAAAATACTGGTTAGCTGATTGGCCTATGTTGGTGATAGACGGGCCAAATAAACCAATCAGATCAACGAAGCATATGACGTACTAACAGAGCGACGACGAGAACACAACCACAAGCCAGGCTACTCTTGCCGAAACCAGTCGGGAGAAGAGCAAAAACATCTTTTCCTCTGAGAAAAGCCTCCAGAGCAGTGTTTTGCTCTTCTTTCAGTGAAGAAATACTCTGTAATTCCGATAAAACTTGCTCGATAGCCACGCTAACGCTAGTTTCATCGGCTGAAGCGGCCATGTTCTTTAGAATGAAATGTCGCGCTTCTCGTTGCGTCACACCTCAACCCGCCTCAAAGCCAACGCTGATTGGACGTTCGTTTGGTGAACGGCTCCAAATTTTCTTTAACGGAGAGTCTCCAGACTGATTTGCGAGTGAAACCTTGAAAGCTCGCGAGATCAGGATGGTCTCACGAGGCTAAAGAAAAGCATCCCGGCAGCATAAACTTTGATGCTTTACAATGAAGATAATGTGTTTAGATAATATGCAGCAGTAATTTTCAGTGTTTTGTTGTTTTTTTCTTTGAGGAAAGTTTTTGAGGAGGCATACTCATCAAAACTTTAAAAACTTGGCAAACAGTGAAAAATGCTCTATCATCACCAACCAGTAAAGAGATGAACAAACAGACGGCAGTTCTTCTTGTTTACATGCCGATTCCACACATACAAATCATTTTATAATAAATTCTGATCATGTTTTTATTTGCAGTGAGTAACAGTGTCTCACATTCTAAGTAAAGAGGTGAAAGTTAAATTTTTATCTCTCTAATGTAACAAAATAAAACTAAAAGTTCAAATTAAAAAATCACAGATCATCTAAAAAATTACCTAACTCTTGTACTGAAGTAAATATACTTAGTTACTTTACACTTGGTTACACTGACATTTTGCAGGGAGGGCCATGAGTACACCTTGTTGTTTCATCTGTGCTATACACTGGAAAAAATAAAAATATAGATAAGTCATTTTTTCTTGAAATAAGTGCATTTGTTCTTGGATTAAGGAGGTAAAAGAGACATTTTGCCAATGGAACAAGACAACTTCCATCTAAAAATAAGAAAACACGATTGCATTGTCTTATTTCAAGTGCATATTATTTAATTATCTTATTTTAAAGTAAAAATACTCATTCTATTGGCAAACTATCTGATTTGCCTACTCAAATTAAGGGTAAATACAATTAATTTAGGAAATTTTAACTTATTTCTGGATCGTTTAAAACAAACTAGAAATAAGTAGAAATGTCTTAAGTGTATTTACCATTAATTTGAGTAGGTAAATGAGATGATTTGCCAATGGAATGAGTATTTTCACTCTTAAAATAAGATATTTAGATAAAATTAACTTAAAATAAGACAAAATAAGACAATGCAATTGTGTTTTCCATTGGCAAATTTCTTTTTTATCTCCTCAATTCAAGAACAAATGCACCTATTTTAAGAAAAAAAATGACTTTTCTAGATTAAAATTTTTTCCAGTGTACATGTTTATATGGCTTGTAGCAGACTGTAGCTGCGACTTCATGTAGCTCTCTTTCAACAACTGGTTTCTTTCTGGTTCCCTCGATGTTTGGGAAGATTTGTGAAGACTAATAATAGTTTCCCTATCAACAGATTTGTTCTGCTGATAGCCAAACTTTAGCTCCTCCAGAGTTACCATGAGCTTCTTTCTGCTGCTTGACTAATGCAGTTCTTGTCCACCCTGTCAGCTTAGGCAGACAGCCATTACTTGGTCGGTTTACAGTTGTGGCATACATGCTATTTGTATAGAATATAAACACTTGCAAAGCAGCCTGGAGTGACATAAACTGACACCTTGTACGTCTGTGTGTCTGTTTGTTTATGCCTAGTATGTTCTCTTATACTGTGAATGGACCCATTCAGAATTTTAGAGGTGATCTTTATTAGGTCACCCTGCAGAAGACTAACTATAGAGCCAGCAGTGTCAGTGCTGTTGCGCCAAACTGCTGCAGCAACGTGCAAAAACAGATGGAGGGCACATACACCTCTGGGAATCTCAGGAAGCAGCAAGGCAGATAGGGACAGTGGTACAAAAAATAATACAGGAAGCAGACTGGTGGCTTATATCAGAGTAAATAAATCTATGAGAAATACAGTAGTTACTATTTCTTTAATAATAAAGAGTGGCATATCAAATTTAGATTTCTTTTTTCTAAACCACACCTTTTTTTTAAAATGTGCTTTTATCTTATTAGCATTATTTCACTTTAGAATCATAGGCAAATTTATTTGTATAGCACAATTCAGTACAAAGACAATGCAAAGTGCTTTACATGATTAAAATATAGGAAAATAAAACGGAATCAAAGCAAATAAGAAAAAAATTAATTAAATAAAACAAATTAAAAAAAAATTCAGAAACAGAAAAGGAATGTTAAAAACAGTTGGACTAGAGAAAATAAAGCATTATTTCACTTTAGAATCATATTTAACTATAGTTTTAATGGCAAAATAACTTCAAACTTCTTACCTTCTCAGTCTTTTTTATTTAAACTCTAGGCATCATTAACATGTCCCATTTAGTTGATATTGTCGATATTTATTTCTTCTTACATTTTTCCTGGGAGAACTTTAATCATAGTACAAAAACAGTTAAATTTCAGGCTATTCAGCTCAGCTACACGCTCCAAATTTTATTTATAAAACTGAATTGTGGATTTTGCATTATAGTTAAATTTCTAAATGCATCTTTACATGTAATCGTTTGTGTTTGTGTGCAGCGTCTGAGGCGGAGTCTCCACCCTGGCCTTCTTAGGAGGATTTCCTCCACATGGACAACTACCACCTCTGCCACAGGAATGCCCACCATTGAACCTGGGCCTGTTCGAAGGGACCGCAGCGCCAGCATTAAACCATACCATGAAACACTCATATGCAGGTACCCTAAACAATAACGAATAACCACAACTAATTTTTGTTTCTTTTTTTTTTTCATAAATCCAATGTCTTTTTTATCTGCCTTTTGGTTTGATTATATTTGAAGGTACCGTATTTTCACGACCATAAGGCGCACCGTACTAAAAGGCGCAGTCTCAGTTATGTGTCCCATTTCTGTATTTAACACACACATAAGGCGCACCGGACTATAGGGCGCGTTTTTTATATGTACATGTCCTCTACTACCTTTAAATACCTCTACTGCGTATTTAAAAATACAGCGGGGGCAAAACTGAGTATGATTGTGCTTTATTCATGTATTTATTAAAAAGTATTAATCAAACCTGGCAGCTGGCCGTGAGACAGACACATCGCAGATGACACAGCGCTGTGATCACTCCTAAATTAACTTAAAATCCTGAAACCTGCCGACGGAATATGTTCGCTTTTATTACCGGTATCCTGGTGCCTGCAGTTTAAATTATTTAGATGAAAAACACCTGCCATCCACCGCGTGAACCCGGAGGCTGCCCAGCTAGAGGCTGCTGATGAAAGGATTTCTACTGTCGGCGCACCGCTGGTATGTGGGGGTCTGAGCGCCTCCGACAGAAATAGATAATCTGGATGAACTGACTGCAATTATTACGTTTTCAGGTGGACTTTCTCACTTAAAAACATAATAAAACTAGTTTATTCCCACTGATCACAGCAAATATAGCTGCAAGATTTAGATTATTTAGATGAAAAAACACCTGCCAGCCGCCGCGGTGAAGAGGAGGAGACCCGCCCAGAGGCTGCTGTTGAATTAAGTTTTCAGGTAGAAAAATAGAGCGGGAGCAAAACTGAGTATGATTGTGCTTTATTCATGTATTTATTACAAAGTATTAATCAAACCCATCAAAGTCATCATCCTCTGTTTCTGAATTAAACAGCTGCGCTAAATCAGACATGTAAATTTCCCATTCTTCGCTGTCAGTCACTTTCCGTGCCGTGCGGCTCCTCAGAAATAATGCCGGCTTTTGCAAAAGCTTGTACAACAGAGCCAGCAGACACGTTAGTCTAAGCATCTACAATCCATCCGCAAACGGTGGCGTAACTTGCCCGGCGCTGCCTTCCACTTATCCTGAAACTGTGGTCTCCGTCGGTCATCCATCGCTCCCACGCCGCTCGCAGCCTTACTTTGAACGGCCGCTTCACACCGATGTCGAGCGGTTGAAGTTCCTTTGTCAGACCCCCGGGATAACGGCAAGCACAGCGTCCATTTGATTCACCTTTTTTCTCACATCGGCTGTGAGATGGGCACGCAGCAATGGTGATGCGTGGAAAAAACCACCTGTTCTCCTCACATACACCTGCCTCAGCTACGCTTTCATCATCTCCTCATCCATCCAGCCTTTTCCATTTGCGTTAATATCATATGTCATCAGAGCGCTGTGTCTGTCTCGCTGTCAGCTCCCAGATCAGCTTCTCTGATTGGTTGATGCGGCGCGTCCAGCAGCAAAACTTCAATTTTTCCATCTCGAGCAGCAGCAGCGCGTTTTGAGCAGCAGGAGCGTTTAAGCATCTGCCAACGCGGGACCTTTTGCTGCACCTATACGCGCGTCAACCATTGACTTGTAAACTCGCATGTAAACTCGCTGCTTCTGCTGCACCTGCTGGGTCCGGTTCACAACGATGTCGAGCGGTTGAACAGCGAGCACAGCGTTAATTTGTTTCCCCATGTTTTTCACATCAGCTGTGAGATGGGCACGCATGGAGTTACATATTAACAGCGATGGTGATGAGTGGAAAAAAAAAACACCTGGTCTCTTTACATTCAGCCACTCTTTCATCATCTCCTCAATGAGGTGGTCTCAAAAGTCGCAGTTACAACACACATAGGGCGCACCGCACATTTTGAGGGGAAAAAAAGACGTTTAAGTGCGCCTTATAGTCGTGAAAATACGGTATGTTGTGCTCAATTAATAATGCTAAAAATTAGGGATGCACGATATAATTGGCCCCGTATCGGTATCGGCCTTAAAACTGAATATCGGACATCGGCAACCCCACCGATATTTAACCCGATATTTGATCAGCTTCTGAGTTTCTAAAGTCTAAAAAAAAAAAAAACTAATAATACTTCTTCTTCTTCCTCAAAAACGTCTTTTTTACAGACTTAAAAACTTCTAAAGACGAGGGGAAAAAATATTGATACATTAAAATATCACAATATCTTCATATGCTGATATATTGCCATTTAAAAACACCATATCAATCTCTTTTACTAATGAAATATTGCTATATGTCATTATTATGCTACAAAATCCCCCGAAAATTCACGAAATGTTGCCATATTTTTATATGTTGATATATTGACGCGGTATCGATCTATTTTACTAACAAAATCTCACAAGAATTTGCAAAATATCACAACAGTTTGTAACAGAACGATGAAATTTCACGAGATTTTGAAAGTAAAATAGATCTATACCGCGTTTTTAAAAATCAATTTGATATCAGCATATGAAAATATATTTGAGTATATTATTTTTCAAAGTGTCAGAAATGGATAACAAAACTGCTATTTTCAATGACTACGTATTTTTGTCCAGCTTTAACATCGGTATCGATATCGGTTATCGGCTACATGAGTTTTAAAATATCGGCATATCGGATATCGGCCAAAATCCCAATATCGTACATCCCTACTAAAAATATGTACTATCTGATAGTATAGTTGATGTAATCTCCATCCAAAACAGGTTAAGATCCTTTAAAATACTCAAGACTTAAAGACTTGAGGTACACAGTGATATGGTGAAAAGCTATCCATGTTCAATTGATAATCCATTGTTTTAAACACGAAATTATCAAAACAAACAAGCCTATGTATTAATCCATAGAAAACAGTAGGCCCTACAGTATCTGTCTGATCATAGCTCTCATCATACATTTATATGCAAAGGTAATTAGGTTGATCCAGCTGTGTGGCTGTATAATATCAGAGAAATGTATATAAGTAAACAGTGATGGCACAGCAAGCTGCAGAAAAAGATGGAAGTGCAGAGAACGCCAGAATGGAAATAAGCTCCACATGAAACACATTAACCTGAATAAGTAGGGCTGAAGACAGCATGGGACATGGATTGCACATGAGTATATTAATTTAGAATGAGAGCAATATAACGGACATGGGATGTGTTTGTGTGTAATTGTGACAATTGTTGTATAATAATAGAAAATTCTACTTCAGGAGATTCCCAGTTACTTTTTCATACCTGTATATTAGGAATGGGACGATTTATGAAAACCGTCCAAACCGTTCGGTTCGACTGTCTCGGTTCGGTTCACGTGTGTTGCGTTCGGTTCATGCGCTGCTCCTTTTTCTCATAGGCGAAGCGTTTACACTCCAGAGCAGAAGGTGGCGGTACTGAGACCAAAGCCAACCACCAGTAGTAAACAAGAAGAAGAAGAAGCGAAGCAGCGTAGCCGGGTGTAGCAGAAAAAAATCAGTTGTTGTGGAGAATTGTGTGGGTATGGCGAGTGGAAAAGAACAGGAGTTGGAAGACGCGCCAGCAGCACTTTATAGGTCTGCTGTATGGGACCACTTTGCATTTAGAGTGACCTACGATGACGGCGGAAAGAAAGTTGTGGATAAAAACAGTGTGCAAGCATTGTGCAACACGTTTTGTTTATGCGAACAGCAACATGACCAACATGTCATGCTAACCCTGAAATCCCACATACTCCGTCATGCTCCCCTCCGCTCTGCCACGCTGCGCTCCAGACCGCCTGCACAAAGCAAAGCCTACAGCCTCCGCTGTGGCTCCCGTCCGCTCCACTCTGAGTTCCTTGGAGATCGTAGAGGGCATGCGCCAGATGATTAAATTCAAAGCAGCAAATGATCCAGGGTTTCCGCGGATCATTAAAAATAATTACAATTCATAAATTTTTGGGGGATTTTTTCATTAATTTTTATGGGATTTCGGTGTAACAATCAACATATACCGAACTGAACCGAAAACCGTGACCACGAAACCGTGTACCAAACCGAACCTTGGATTTTGTGAACCGTTCCACCCCTACTGTATATACATGTTCTGTAGTATTTTAATACGAACACAGTGCACAATGTTAAACCTGTTTTTACTGGATAACTTGGCTCCAGAAAATGATTAATTTATCTAATAGTTTGTTCTACCTTCAGGGACCAAGAACCTTCATCAGGTGCAATATACGTTTTAGGACATCCTCAAATCTCAGGACAAGAATTGTCATATTTTTAAAGAAAGTAATATAAGAGCATGACATATCTTACATATCTTAACAGAATAAACGGTGGTGTCTATAATTACACTGACAAACTTCCCCTCCTTTCCTCTTTGCCTTTGTCTGTCAGTCCAGCGTAAGTGGAGACCTGAAGCCCTCAATAGTCAAATCTCCAGTTTCACTGAGGGCCTTTAAAATCCTTTTTATAGTGGACATTACTTTGATTTGAATTCTATTCCTGAGGGACAGAACGTTTTTGGAGGATGAGGAATTTGATCAGTTCACTGTTTCCTGAGATAAACTCTGAGACCTGCATGTCTAACCCACTTTCTTTTACATGCATCTTGTTTTTTCTCCTTACTCTGATAAGTTCTCTCAAAATGAGATTCAATAATTGTGGGTTGAAGTCTGACACTTTAGGTCAAGTTTAGCTGTAGAAGTGTGTCTCTAGAGTATGGAATAATTACTTACTGATAAAGGAAACTTCATCTATTTAATGAAATTAAATTCAGTTTATTTATATAGCGCCAGTTCACAACAAGTCATCTCAAGGCACCAGATCATCCAGTCAAACTGATTCAAAGTTTTCTATCTAAGGAAAACCAGTTGATTGCATCGACTCATTGACTTGAAGGAAATAACTCACACCAAAAATTTTTATAGCGACAGTGGAGAGGAAAAACTCCCTTTTAACAGGAAGAAGCCAGCTAGCCTCGTGAGACCATCCTGATCTCGCGAGCTTTCAAGGTT